CTCGTGTTTTTTGTTTTATTTCATTTTATTTTACATCACTCGCGATCGCATCTACCGTGCGGATCGGAGCAGTTCTCGTGCTCGATTCGTTTTCTTCGAGTTCATCGTCATAAAGGTGTTAAAACACTTCGCGTATTGCTTCGGCTGCTGCCTGACGATTTCGGCTTCTTTATTAATGTCATAGAATGTAGACCGAGGTGGATGGGCTAGTTAGGGCCCGGTTTATGGATCGGAGAGAGCATTGCCAAGGAGGTTTAACCAGTATCTTGTTTCCTGATGAATTGCGCCAACTACTCCACCACCTCAGTGGAAGAGAAATTTTTCTTGTGTGTCGCTGATTGTTGATCAAATATAGTACTATCTTCTTGGACCCTTGGAACGGCCATGATAAAGTCTTCGCATATGTTTGCCACAGCGATTACCAAGTTTTGTAAATTCGAGAGAGCTTCCTTGGTTAGTTTAGTGTACCAGTTTCTACCAGTTTGATGAACAGAATGGATGGGATGCTTGGGCAGCCTTGTGGGCTCGACGCAGGGTGATGTTATTGAATGGCATTACCACCACTGCGCTATCCCCATTCACACGTTTACCTTGTTGGAAAATACTTCCAAACTCTAGTGGTTTTCCTCCCAATGGATAGAACTGCAGCAATCTGCGATATGTTTGTTTAAAATTTTGGACAACGTGTGATCCACGTACGGACCATATTAACAGCAATTTTTATTAGTTTACTCCAAGTAATATTGCCGCTAACCTATGAAAATATGAACGTTTTCAAAAATCCGTCTTTGCACTCATTGTTTTTCCTCTCTGGAATTTCCTAGTAGGCTGCATTTTTTGCTTGACATTTCCTCTAAGTCTCTGAAATTCGATCGATAGTTTTTCTTTTGAATCCAATTATTTAAAAAACTCGACATTGATCAGTAGGGTTTGCTTCATTGGCGAGCTGGTACGAGGCTGTGATATTGTCGATACTCATCTTTTTCCGATTTCCGACCATTTTAGGATTCGTTTTTAGTAAAACTTGATTTGTGAGTTCTTTCATCTTGTGATTATTTACTTAGACTAACTTCATGCATGATGAGGGTTTTAAATAAATGTGTTGGCATGCTAATTGAGTAGTTTTTTCCTTGAAAGGTTTCCAAGATGACCGAAATGAGGATTTCCCAAGATGCCACCATAGAAGTATTGAACAGAGATTTTCCATTTTGGGGATGGACATTGATGCTTAATAAATTTTGTTTAATGTTTGCTGAGCTTCCACAAGGTTGATTCTAATTTCAAGGTCGACTTTGCCTTAAGAACTTGACCCATGCAATCTTTTCTGGGGTAAGGTGGTGTCCATGTAAAGTTTTGAAAGTGTGACTTTCGACTTTTAGCAATACGAAAGTATGGCGCAGTTGCTGGATTTTCCCTACAATACGGATGGTTGTTGGTTCGATCTCTCGTCAAAGGCAAACCAGACCAGATCCTTTGCTCTAGATTGGGAAATGCTACCATGTTTGAAAAGAGAAAAAAGGTGGAATTTGGAAAATCTTCTTAAGTCATTGTATAGGCTAAATAAGTACTAAATAATCTATACGATGCCACGAATGAAGTCGAATGCATGGTGGTACCTAAATTGTGCTGATCAATAAGAAAAACTTCACCCGTTATCCCTCATTTTATTTCAAATATTACTAATAAATTACAAAGCACTTTACTATAAATCTTTCTAACTGCTACTCAATGGAAACTACATTTCCTCGCTTTTTTGGAACGCCGCGCTAGTGTTAGACTCATTCGAACGGATTCCAACGAATTTAACCCTCAGCTTTACCGCATGCCAGTGCTATCCAGTGGATTGCAGTTGGTTGAGACGAATGAAAATAACCCCAGTTTTGGTATTGGATTCTTAATTTTCTAGTATTTTCGGCCATATATCATGCCTTGTTGGGTGTTGATTCAGGAACTTGACATAGCCAGTAGTTTGTACGGATCTTTCATAACAAACGGTGGTTTATCCGTCGAAGAACCCACCATCGATTCCTATCTATATTGGAGCCTATCGCTATATACATGAAACTTCTTTGTTTCAGAAACAAGTATCAAATCTCCTAAACATCTCGTTTACTTTGTTTTCGCCCAATTATAATGCGGAATAGAATCTACATAAATGCAAGCACATTCAGATACGAATGCAAGTGAAAATCGTCTCGTTTCTGAATTTACCTCTATCTCAGAACGGGTATGTGCTTCCTTCAACCCTAGTTCAATTATCTGTTCACCTCCTGGAAATGCTCCATGCAGTCACGCGACAAAATGGTTTGACATCCTTCAACCAAAAAATAGAAAATCCATTTTATCTCTACAAATTCGCCAAGACGAAGACCCCTTCATGGATTTATTCAGGATTTCCATGTTATCGAAGTCTTCTTGCCTCTACGTCAACGTTACGATATCGCACTTCGGATATGTTTCTTGTGGAATTTGTTTTATAAGAACGTCCAAAAATAACACGTGCGTTTAAATTGCCGAACCTACACGAGGTTGATAAATAAGCTATTCGGCTAATGTTTCATCGTCTTCTTCATCCTCAGAGCAGATGATCCGCGTTGATGTCTACATTTTTTCATACTTTCGATGTAGCGTCTTCGTCGTCGTATCGACTAGGATCTTCTTCAGTCGATCACCGCTCAAAAGAGGCAACCTCATCTAGCGATGCTATTTTATACAGAATGATTGTTGTTGCTATGATTGTCCGGTGAAAAGAACTTGTTTTTTTCAGACGGTTCATCCCGCAGACCCCGTTATCATTATCAGGTAGCACAAAGCTTAATAATGTCTCAGAAACAGACTTTTCTTTAGCCACGGTATGATGAATAAACATGTGTTTAAATTGCTGGACATATACATCGCACATCGAGTACCAAGGACTGTGGACATCAACTAGGATCACTGGCTGTGATGAAACTGAAGGCGTCGTGACGTTATCCGAACAAAGTTTATTTATCAACCTTGAATAAGCTTAACAATTTAAACCACATGTTGATTAGTCAAACTGACATTGAAGGAAAGTTGGCTCTTGAAAAGACAACACATTAATTTAACATATTCCTCACTTGATGATTAATGTATGAGCAACGTTTTTTGCGGGCAAGCTGGCCGATGCGTGTTATATATCACGCAGTTGTTAGACGACTTTACGAGTTATGAGTTTAACAGCCTGGCTTTAATCCATTCATTAAGACTATAAATTCCAAATTTTAAGCAATAATTGGTTGCTACCAGTGAAATGTGCGTAGCACAGTGGTTAGAGGTGCTACCCTGTAATGCACATGTAGTTCGACCCAGTGCCCCGTGCTCAGCAAGCCGTCCATCCCTGTGGGCTGGGAAAATTGGCGTCAGGATTGTATGGAAGGATAGCAGCACTGACTTGATAGAACGGTAGGCCACCCCAATTCGTTGTACAGGAGAAATGTGCATGCAGTTTAACGATGCTTAATGAATAATGAATATATGGCGTGTCCTTTAGGGATTGATGAACGCCCAGAGCTTTACCACTCGCTCTTTGTAATGACTCAATAGGTACAAAAGCTATGAAGAAAACAGCGAAATGCTTTCCATATCGTGAAAAATTTTACCAAAGATGGACAGCACTGTGATTGCATGGTAATCAAGTTTTTTTTTCCAAATGTATGTGGAGGTTGAATATGTTCCAAAAGCATGGGAGGGTACATATAAGGATATCGGAGTTACTTAGGCCATGAAAACATAGAGATTACCAATGGGGAAGCACAGAAAACTGAATTGTGGAACGAAAAGTCCGAAAGAAAAAGGTTGAGGCTATCTGCAATAGGTGCTAGAAGGCCACCTTGGTCGCAATTAATCACAAGTATCACTCACCGCAAAAACAGCCGAAAATTAGGCGACGACTAAATATGAGCCGCAAAAATTGGGCATCAGCATCAGTGGAATAGGGAGAGCTGTTCCAAGCTGTGTCATTTTTTTTGATAGACACTTCATAAGGTGAAAGACGTAAATGTCCAAGTCGGGCGAGATTTTACGCTTTTCGCGGTTTTTCTTTTTATCTACTAAAAGATAAGGGACAAAATGTTCAGCTGTAATAAGCTCCTTAAAGGTGCGCTAAGAAGTCCTCGTCGGTCGGGGTGCGGCATCGAACCACGGACCACGTGTATACTGCAGTGCACCCCAAACCACTGCACTTTATACATTAAACTCTAACAGTCATCTGTAAAAATTATTTAGAAGCGTGAAAGCCCTAGAATGACCATATATCATTCCCAATATCTGCACGTGTGACGTCGGGAGAGCCGCCCACATCATGACATTGATCTACTGTTAAGACCACCCATTTGAGAACCTTGAGGTTGTTGGTCACCTCTGTCAAAACCTCCACATACTTTTGGCCGTTTGACACCAAAAACCTTTAAAGGTAGTCTTCCTATTCTAAACCAGTTTCTATCATCAAATTACTATCCAATGGTTATCAGTAATTTGATAAACTTGTTGCATTGAAGTCATCGGAAAACTACTGTGAATATTTTGAATTCAACGAATTATAGATATTTGGAACTGCTGCATGGAGTTATAACACTCAAAAACATTCCCTATTTAGCTCGTCATCCGTAACTACTTCATAGGGCCAAAAGCTCGACATTTGGGTCTCGCATGGACCGACTAATGAGACTGAAATAGTAACATTTGATATTGCTGTTATTTTTTGGAATCATCTTCTAAATGCTTCCGATTAGTATTTTATCTACTATTCCTGCTTTTCTCTGCTTCTACCTCACTTTTTTTAAACCCATTTTCAAGAGTTAGTTTGCCAGTATATTCTTACATAAATCTCATTCTTCACTTTTCTTGTTTGTTTCTCCATTCTGCTATTTACCCTTTCTCACTTCACTGTTGCTATTTCTTGGATATATCGTTTGTTCTTAGAACTTTCGATCAACATTTATTTCTTGTCAGGGCATCATTGTCGTCACTTCGGTGTGATGAGTACGGAATCAGGTTACTTCGTGCAATCATCGTCACCGCTTGATTCGGCGCTGTTTTTCGTTCTTGCCGCATTTATCCTCAACGTCATCGTTGTTATAAGTGGGCGTTTTCGGTTCTCTTCTATTTCTGAGGAAGTACATAATATAAACCTTGCAAGATATAAACATATTTATGGTTGTGAGTTCCATTTTCCACTTTTTATTCGTTCGTTCTAATTACAATATCTCATTGCTCAGCTCTCATTTCACGAGGATCATTATCTGATTTCCTTCATCACGAGCGTTTCCATATTTTCGTCTGGGTTCGACTTCCACTTAAGCGATTTTTTTCATAAATGTCGTTGGATGCAGATCAGGTTTAGCTTCAGTGGAATCCTGATATAGCGCTACTACAGCATTCCTAGGTCTTCACCGAAAAGGCAGTTGCCAGCTATTGTGGTTGAGACGAAACTGGTCCTACGAAAGTTTAGTAACAATTTACCGATTCCAGCCTCGAAAAATAGCAGTCTTGACTATCCTGTTAGGGAATCAAGCCAGAGCTCATACCTGTATTACGCAGCAACTCAACCATCACGGTAGCCGCAACACAAGTTTCTATTAGTTTACAACTGTCTGAATCCAACCTTAGACATGACCTTCCTCTCTTTCATTTATTTCACCGAAATTTTGAATTTTTTATTATTTTTTTTAATATGAGCGTTTGCCTTTGGCGATTTTTGTTGAGAATCCTTTTTTCACCCATACCATGTTGGAATACGAAATGTTAGATTTTTCTCCAGCAATAACGTAAAAGAGCACGAGCGAAACAACGAAAGCAGCCATTATTCAGAATGCATGGTCGACAAACTCCATTAGCCATCGTGCTCAATCCCGACTAGAATGGGCCGAGGAATTCCAGCACAGGATATTGCATTTGCGACGTGCAACGCAAGCTAATGTGCAAGTCGCTGAAAATATGAATCAATCCGGAAAACCGGAAATGTTTGACGAGAACATTATATGTAACTTTGTAGAGCTGTACCATGACGCGTAGGTGTGGAGATAGGCGTCGCTCGTATCACCTTCAACTGCAACTCAGTTCCATGATATGCCATAGAATGATCTCTCATTGGAGGTTCCACATTCGGTGACTACGATGACGATACTCTGCAACCTCGTGCATAGCGAACGCATACCTGGAAGCTCAGTCAAAAACCGATGCACGCGATTGCAAATTACTACTTTTGTCTTTTGTTACTTGAAAGACTTGGTGTTTCGGAGGATGACGGAGCCGAACCAGAGGTGGCGCTATATTGGACCAGCTTACCCTATCAACCCTTCAGGTATAGCCTCTTCATAGTGAAGCATCGTGTGCACAAAAATGTGCTCAACGACTGTGACAAATTTAAAAACATGCTCGCTAGTCTTTTTCCGACGACAGCCCAAAACTGCGAGGAAGTGGCATACTTTTTTTTAAAAAAAAGTTTTTTATATGATCCGTCCTCGCGTCTACTGTGCAGATCCCAGTACTTCTTACATTCGATTCGTTTCCTCGCATCTATTGTCCACAAAGATCTTCCAACTTTTTACGCGTAGCTTCGGTTGCTGCTTGAGGATTTTCATTTCATCTTGAACCTCGTAGAATGTTGTTCGAGCACTTCTTCCTGGAGTCCTGAGATAGCCGCGCTGGAGCCTTCCCAGTAAGATCGCAGAGGTGATTTTTTTCCAGGAGGTCCGGTACCAATTTCCCGATCCCGGAGAGATGAAGGACTTGGTTGGCCAGAAGCGGAATCGAACTAACACCATGCTAGTGATAACGGAGATGGCTACCACTGTGCTATCCGCCCCTGAAGTGGCATAGTATCCTTGCTAAGTAGGCAACGAAAGTTTCTAGGCGTATCTATGAAATCAGGAACTAAAATGCAGTTGAAATCAATAAAGCCGTTGTTTTAACCTAGTATTTCGATGGTTTTCTTATTTCCAAATTTTCACCGATGTGATATTGAGCAATCTGAATAAGCCCGTATCTTAAAAACAAACTCATGTCTTCAATCACTGCATCTTCTTTTGGAGTGGTCTGCTGCTTCTCAGGTTGAATTGTAAAATGCGTAACTTTTTATATGTTGCCTATTACTTATCATGACTGGGTATTTTAAAAAGCACAGCGACAAAATGCCGAGGTATTCGCGAAACCTATGCCCCAGACCAGATTTGAATCTATATTTACTCTTTCCGAGGTTTAAGTTTTAACCAGTGAACCACTGAGCCTCTCAATTTGCCTTCTTGCCAGCCAATTTTTACCTTAACTGTGCCATCAGCAATCACCCGCCAATGGGAATGATCCGTTGATCACAAATCGGCATACAACCATTAAGCTGAGGCTACTGCAGTTGCATTATAAAGGATAAAAAGGATAAAGCTTTCGGCGTTTATCAGTTCCTGAGCGATGCGCCATGCATTCTACTTCATTAAGCATCATTTGGAGACGATTGAATGCATATCTGATCTTTACAATGACTCGCGGTGGCCTGCCGACATATGGAGCCAGTGGTACTATCCACCCAAAAAAGTCTGGTGCGAATTTGCTTAGCCTGGAGGGTTGGAAGGCTTGGTGGGCCATGGGCGCCTAGATCGACTCCACGTGTGTGTTGCAGGGCGCCTCCGACCACTGCGCCACATGCACCCTATTGCATATATGTTATTGTATTATATATAATATAAATATGATCATGTATAGTATATATGTATAGGCAGTTTTTACACTTTCCTTGACTGTGTCAATTTTATATGTTGATAAAATTCGTCTGTGAAGCACAATACGACACTTTTTGCACGTGAGTTTTGTATCAGGAATTTGCTAATTTTTACTGACTTCTACTTTTTTCACAAAAACCTCAAATTTCGCAAATATTTTTAACCTATAGTGTATTTATAAACGAATTTCTTTTTTTCAGTGGCGTTCTGCTATTTCGATCCGACACCGGGACCGCCTCTTATCAGTCGTACTTATCGGAGTTTTCGAAGATTAAGTCAATCATTGCAAGGAACCAGGCACCAGTTGGTCGTGAAAGAAGCTGAAGATACTGATACAGTACTTTTCGTTTGACCCAGGCTCTCTGTGTGGTTGACAAGGAGCAGCAAAAGCAACACGCTGAAGCAACTCAGTGCTTAAAGAATCAGCTATCTATTCTTTATCGTAAATTTATCGATGCTGTCTGTAAAAGATCATTTATGCTTGCTAGACCTTAGGGAAATCCAATACGAATCCGCGACTTCTCCTTTTTCGAAAAAATGCTCAAATTGATAAGAGCTACATCTATGGTTACTATGTTGAAAATCCTTCCAAAACAGTTTCTATCAAACTCGTAGATACTTTTCTTTAACTTTTCCATTTTTATGCGTTGGCTTATTCTACACTTATTCTCTACGTTCTTGTTTGACGTAAAGAAACTGTTTATTTAGAACTATCCAGAAAGCAACTCCCAAGTCCGACTTTCTATTAACCTCGGCATTGATTGAATATATTTGAATATTGAATATAATAATATATTGAATATGAATATCCAGAAAGCCTTTTTTGTGGTCGCGGAAGAGGTTGGGGAGTGTCGCAAGAAAAATTTTTGGACGTGAGCTAGTATATTTGCGGTTAGGTTTTAAATATTGAACACTTTATTTAAGAATATATTGTGAAAAACTACGTTTAAAATATCTATGAAGTGAAAAACAGATTGATCGGATGGTCCAATTGATTCACTTTGCTCGTCTCCTCTTGAAGCAGGTGTAGACGATACCGAATTTCTGAAAAATCCATTGGACTTCTTAAAATGTCTCTTTACACCAGTTTAAAAGTATGTGAAGTACTTCTAATAGGATGTTGAGATGTGAGGAAAACTCGGAACCACAGCTCGACTTCGAACTGGTCGTTGCCCTGAGTGTGGGCTACAGTGCTATTAACCACACCAACCGAGGTTTGTTTTTCTCTTGTCCATATTTTCGCTCTATCGGTCCTACCAACATCTACTCGTCGACGGAAATGATTTAAGGAGTGCAAATCGAGGGGTGAACCCAGTAAAGCTGTAGCTGCGATCGAAACCACAGTGTTTCAACTTTTGTTTAGTGCCCATCCTTTTTTGTATGATTCGATAGAGCCAAAATATGGGTGAGAGGTAGCCAAAACAAGGTCCTCGGTTTGCGAGGTAGATTGCACGCGAGCCATCAGTGAGGTTACCCATGTGTTCGAAGTCTCACTGAGGTGGGAATTTGGTTCGTACATCACAGCGTGGCTGCGGCTGTAATACACACACCCTGACAAGAGGAATGGAAAATAAATAAAATTTAAAATAGCATGTGCAGTGTTTTTACTAATAGAGATTTATGCTTTCTAAACAGTGCCTATTCTGCTGTTCCGCATTGAAACGTTGTTTGCCTAGATTGTTATCATTTATTCTGAATAAATAATTCAAGCATTTATTTGTAAACAGCGTTTTTTTTCTACATAAAAGCATGTATTATAGTGTAGAAGTCGTGCAGATCACTGGGTGTGATGTCGATTATTACGAGCACGGTTCTGGTTTGACTCCGCGCCCGGGTCACCAAACCTCTGGACACTCCGTGATCGAGAATTGGGACTAATCTTTTCTTGGAACAGTACACCTCCCCCAATCCAAGTGGGTCGTTCTAGCCAGGATACCTCATAAGTCCAGCTAGAATCGACTTCGCTAGTATTTAATGACATTCATAAGGAAGACTGCATTCCTTAAGAGCAGCCAAATCCACACGCAAAATTTGGGAAGGCCGTCGTAGATGATAGGTAGGAGGAAACGATAGGAATGCAAGAAGTGCTGGGATCTGCACAGTTGCAAATATGAAACTCAATGTAAAATAAAATTTAATAAAGTAACATCCAGTGATGCTGAGATAACTGGGGAGCTGCAGACTGCGGGTGTTTGCGGTGGGGAACAAACGCGGTATTGTCCTTTCCGGGGGTAACGCGTTCACCACCACACTATGCGGGTTTTTCGTTTCACCTGTCTCTCAGCTAGTTCTATCTACTTTTGCTATCAGCAACCACCCGTCAGGGGGATTGACCTAGGGATCCCAAATCGGCGGTGAACCCAGTTAAGTTGAGGCTTTAGTTATAATAACAATCTTGACCGTTTTATTTACTGCCTACTCTTTTCGATGGCAGGGTATATTGCGGAATATAACTTTAACGATGCTGAGATTTTTGCAAAACTCCGGATCGCAGGTCAATTTCGCTGACGGGTGATTGATGATGGCAGAAATCGATAGAACTAGCTGAGAGACAGGCAAAACGAAGGTCCCACATGGTGTAGTGGTGGACGCGTTACTCTTCGGAAAGGACAATAGCGCGTTCGTTCGCTACCGCAGACACCTGTGGCCCAGAATTCTGGAAACATCTCAGGAACATTAAAGTTATATTTCGCAACATACCTTGCTATTAAAAGGAGTAGGCAGTAAGTAGTACATTAAAATTGAAATAACGTTTTTTCTACTTCTGTTTAGCGAACTCAAGGTGTTATTTTATTTCTTTATTTACACACAGGGCGATGTTTCAGCGGATTTCGCCCTCCTCAGAGCCTGGAAAGGTCAAGTTGACTGCAATCCATACAGCCAAACACCTCCATAACCAAACAGAGAAAATGCTGAACCAAGATTTCAATCACATTGAACACAAGTCTTTGCACACTCACCGCTTTCTATAAGTCTTCCACTAAATATGTCACGTGGAGACCAGCCGCACATAGTTTATATTGAATTGTAATGTGCCCCTGTCATAAGAATAACAGGCTTATATACTGCCCAGTATCATCACGCGTAATAATGAGGTATTCCTCCCTGCGGTTCATTTCCGGATTCTTGGAATTAATCCAGAATGTCTGGGGAGTTTTGCGCACTTGTGTTCTCGATTCTTGCGCGAGGATCGTAACGCCTACTTCGAAATCTTCTCCGTTATGGCTATGCGTCCTGTGGTGCCTGGTGGAGTATTTGGTTTACGTTTGCCGACTAGGTGTTTTTTTATACAAATAAATGAAGAATAAATGATGAGAATAAGAATAAATGTTAATAAAGAGATAAATAACACCTCGTGTTTGCTAAACAGAAGTAGAAAGAATTATTCAATCAGTGCCGACGTTAATAGAAAGTCGGTTGTGAGAGTTACTGAAATAACATTGTTGTATAACTCTCCCCTGACTCTGAAAGTGCTTCCTACATTAACTAACACAATGGTCTTGTAAAGGCTTGGAAAGTGTAATGAGCTCGGGGCGTGGTATCGAACTAACTACCACTTGTCTATCGAAGCCATCTCTAACTAATGGATTATACGTGTCACTTTTGTATAAAAAAATAAAGGATAAAGCTCTAAGCGCTGATCAATCTCTGAGGAATGCGCCATGCATTCGACTTCATTAAGCATCGTTTGAAGGTGAGTGAATGCATATCTGGCCTTTATAATGATTCGCGGTGGCCTGCTGATGTATCGATCCAGTGTTGCTGTCCTCCCAGACAAGTCCGGCACCAGTTTGCCGGCTCCGGAGGGATGGAAGGCTTGGTGAGCTATGGGCGCGAGGATCGACCCCACGTTTGTGTTGTAGGGCTCCTCCGACCACTGCTCCACAAGCGCCCGAACCCATCTTATTGGTTCTGTATTAGACTGTAGTTATGACAGTGCGTAACTTTTCAGACGCTTAATGCTTGTATCACAAGAGTTCTTTGAAACAACCTTTTCTGTCCTAGGTCATTAGCAAATTTTAATCATGTTTATACTAAAACATACGTTAGGTTCTGCACCTCTGATGCGAAAACAAACGCAGCTTCCAAATTTAAACCGACATTTCTCAGCTCATACTAAATATTATTAGGTACAATAGGGTCTATAAGGTCCACAGATGTTTGTAAGTCAGAATAGCCTTCCTCATCCTACCAGAATAAACTTCTAGCTCACTGGAGCGCACTGAACTCACTTTTCTCTTTGCTTTTCTTTCTTACAAGTTCCATATTTCGAACACTAATGCAATTGAACAAGCGGAATTTCGTTCAGCGACGTACAATGGTGTTCGCCGGAGTTTTGTTGGTGCTTCCAGCTACAACGTTTTCACTTGAATTCTCGAAAATCTAAGCTTAGTCTCTTTAATCTCTTAAAAATTTTTGTTCTGAAAATATTTAGAATTTAAATAGTGCTTTGCAAAGATTATGCATAGGTTAAATCAATAGAGCAGAATCTCTAGTATAAAACTCTGTAGTCCTCATCTCTTCAAACACTAGTAGTGGAAAGTCAGTGCCGAACTTTATGTGCTGATAGAGAAAAGCGACTTACAGTTAACGGCAAAATTAAACAAGTTGTTCTGTTGCGATAAAATGTCATAGCAAAACAGCGTGCTAAATTTTGAAACAAACGATAATCAATGGATTCTCAGTATCACCAACCGTCCTGTATAAAACAGCACTGCCAGGTGAGCTTACATCTATCGAACAGTGCCTCAGTGGATTCGATTCGATGCGGTGACGAAGGCTCACATTGGAAGGATGAAGAATTGTGGACCATCGACTCTTGTCAATCCGGCACTGAGAAAGGCGAGGGCGCCGAAATGATAGTTAAACAAAGCTTCTTTTTCTATCAACCTCATGTTAAGCTATTAATGGAAAAAATACATGTCTATCTCAGAAACTGCTGTCTATTTATGCAGTGCTCTCAGTTAGGAGATGTCCATAGTGAGCTGACAAATACACCGTATTTGAAAATCGTGCGAGTGGTCTCTTTTCTTGGAGAACAAAAACAGGTATGAAGAAGACGAAGATGCAGAAACAAGCCAGAACACTTGCTGGCAATTTTGTGCCAATTCATCAAGGGCAGCTAGAAAAAAAACAGCTCGTATATATTATTTCCTTCTGATTTTCAAGTAATATTCGTCTTTTGATTGGAGTTTTCAACTGATCCTTGATATGCTGGGGCGCATGTGGCGCAGTGGCTGGTCCCCTACACTACTACACAGTACACACTTAGCCGTCGGCTCGATTCTGTGACTGAGGTTCACCAAGCTCTCCATTTTTCCTGAATCGGCAGAATGCTACAGGATTTGTCTA